AGGATCTACCATGGCTTGAATTCTGGCATAACATTCATCCATCCACGCTTCATTTCATCTGAGAAAGTGGATTGACTAGAATCTAGCTGCCTAATGGCTGCTTAGGCATCATGAAAGTTGAAAGAATTTTTCTGATATACTGAATTAAGGCCCTTACTGACAAGTAACATCAGACTTATTCCTATCAGATTGGATACACTCAGAGTCTCATCATTCACTTGAATCAATCCTATTAAAGCTTCTTTCATGCAGTTGAGCAGCAATCTCACTGCACCGTTTTGCTGCGAGAGTTGTTGAAAGCCAACCCTTAATCCGCATACAACAGTCAGGGTTAACCAGATATTAGCTTCAGATTTTCCTTTAAACAAGAGTAGTGCAAGTAGGGTTGAAAAAAATTTATGGTGAAAACTACTGCTTTGGTTTTGTTTTCAATTTTTCAACTATACGTTTTGAACTTTTAAAAAACAAAAATCATTTTGAAACAAAGGAGTTGAGTCTTTGCCAAAACTCTGATTTTTAATCACTATATCTTTGGAACCAAATGTTGTAGACCTTAGATATTTCAAACTAGGAATTTTGTTAATTCAAATAATCAGTGTTTGAAATGTCAAAGGTTTACAAGATTGGGTTCAAAAGATATTGGGGTTTAAATATTGGATTTCGATTCAAAGATTCAATTCCTTTGGCTAGTGAATCTGAGTTTTATGACAATTAATTTCAATTTTTGTCAGGGAGATAAGATTATAAATGTTGTCTTAATTCTTTTTTAAACGACAAACTTTCAACATTGAAGCAAAGAACATTTTCAAAAACTATTGTTGTTAAAACAACCGTTTTTTATAAACAAGCTTTTTCAAAAATGATTTTTTTGTAAAAACAACTGTTCTCCATCGTTTTTAAAACATGATGATCAATTTTGAAAAAAGTGGAAAAGTTCTATCCCTAAGTGTACATGTGTGGAGTGCGTGAAGTGAACCCATGAAAACCAGTCTGGATACCAATTACCAATCCAGTTACTAGCTGCCAGCAAGTGTGCTTAAATTCAGTGATCTAATTAGAAATGTTGTCACACACTAACCACCCCACCCCAAAAAATTCTTATATTTTAATTTCTGATTTTTGCTTTAACAGTAGTTCAGTTCAGATTCAGCATCATTTAAAAAATAGATAATTCTTGAAATGACAAAAATAAGTTCAACCTTTACTGGTTGTTTTAACGCTTGGTTTGACATTCAGACATGATTGATACCTGACTAGATGATATTGGATTATAATCAGCATGAAACTACAACTATAGTTAATCCTGAACTTAATATAACATCTATTATAAGATTATAAAATCTATATTTTAAAATGATAAAGTGCCCTTTACGGCAATGACTCACTAATACAATAGCAGACATCTTTTAAAATATTTTTTTTATGTATACAAGGATTTAAGGAGCCTAAGTATGTTAGTCTGTCAATTTGGAGAAAATTTAATATTTTTTTCCATATTACTGTTTTTTAAAGAGTTCCAGAGCCTTAACAGGTTGTTGTACTTATTATTTTAAGCTTAAATAAAATGTTTAAAGTAAGCCTTCAGCATAGTTGAATTGTCATTAGTTAAATTGTCGGTTTCACACTTTTAGAGATGTTTAAACTCTATGCAGATAAATAGACGTTCTCTCAATATTTGTAACAGCTCTACATATTCTGGAATGATATTTTTTTTATTTGACAAAACTTAAAACCATTTAACCACCTTGGGCCTTGAGGTCATTAGAGTTCCATTCAGCTGTTTTGATGTTTTTAAGTTTTAAGGGAGATTCTACAATAAGTGATATTCATATTCTTAAATAATTAAATAAACAAGTCTATCTATCAATTAATGCCTGTTGTATTTGTTTGTAAAAGAGGACAATTCTACTCAAAAGATCAATTGGAGGACTCACTGCTTGACCCTGGCCTCTGGTCTCAACAATAAGCACTGGATTTGCCCCACATCAACTCTTTTGTAGACTTTAGACTCTCTCTGGCTTCTGAGTTTACTTCATATGGCTCTAGACAGACGCCTTTTTCAACTACAAAGATTGCAGACAAGAGGCTCTCTCTTAGGGGTCAAGTCCCAGTGTTGGTTGATGCTATCCTCATTCCTCCTTACTGGAGTAGAAACATGAAATGAAATATGTAAAGACACTGTACCGGCTTGTCTGATGTACACATTGTGTAATGGACCCAGCATGTGTTCTACTCATAATGTATTGTGTGGTTTTATAACAGATTAAGGATTTGAAAGTAATGATCGATCCATAAAGTAAAATCATGAAAAGCATCAAAATGATAATACATTCCAGTTTATAGTTGTGTTCATTCCCCACTTAACAATGAATAGAATATGAGAATATATTAAGTATAGATATATATATATACTTATACTATACACTATTATACTATACATGCATAATTTGAATATGCTAATTCAAACTCCAATATTTATGTATATGTTTAAAGGCAGATACAGGTTTCTTGAGTTCTTGGTAAAATATCTTTAAACCAAGATTTATAAGGTAAGGCTAAATAGAATATGAAGAATAATAACAAACAAGTCAAAAAAAAACCTTATTGATTTTTCAATTCTTAAAGACACAATTACCAATATCAAGTTTAGAATTTAAATATAAAGCCCATTTAGCAATATCAAGTTTAGAATTTAAATCAAAAACACATTTAGAAATATCAAGTTTAGAGTTTAAATATAAAACACATTTAGCAATATCAAGTTTAGAGTTTAAATATTATACACGTTTATCAATATCAAGTTTAGAATTAGAATAAAACACATTTAGCAATATCAAGTTTAGAATTAGAATAAAACACATTTAGCAATATCAAGTTTAGAATTAGAATAAAACACATTTAGCAATATCAAGTTTAGAATCTAATTAAAAAACAAGCAACAAATCTTTTTATATTTATTTATGTTCTTCAACAATAGTTCCGTAAGTTAAGTTTAAATATGGCTGACTTTAATTTCAATATTTTGTATTTATGCATGCACTTAATATGACTAATCCGTTGTGCATTTAAAATTTTCAATATGTTTAATGTAAAGCATGAACTTCAAAATCCATTAGAAGCAAACCTCAGTAAGGTTTTACTTATATGAACCTTATGTGAAGATAAATGTATTTTTTAAAACTTGAACAATACTTGTTCCGTTATTTCTTCTTCCATTAAGTTTACAATAAAAGAAAACTGTAACAGACCAGATTTTCCAAAACTTGTTTTCCTATCAGCTCACTTATATCAATAATGTACATACATATATATAGCTGGTCTGTTTGTTTGTTACCATTAAACGTCAAAATTGGCACATATGACTCAAGAATAGGTGAAAGTTGAAAAATGTGTGTCTTATTTCTGTTGAAAATCTACAATTAAATGCAATAAATTCTTCAATTTTTTTTTACAAATTATAGTCACCATTATAAAAACATTGGAAAGTTATATTTTATGCCATATCATTTAAACCTTTCACTAATCATTGACAGTGGTAATTAAAACTCAATGTGTTTAATTCTATATTAGTGATCATTTTGCCAAAAAAAGTAGTATAGACTTAACTAAAGTATGATTTCAATGTTTGTTGAGTGTGAAATTAAAGAAGTTGAGTCATGAGTGTGAATGAGTGAGAGTGTGAATGATATACAAATAATGAAACAAATAAATAAACAAATAAATAAACAAATGATAGATAAATAATAAAACAAATAAAAAAACAAATAATAAAACAAATGATATATAAATAATAAAACAAATAGATATACAAATAATAAAACAAATAGATACATAAATAATAAAACAAATAGATAAACAAATAATTAAACAAATAATATATAAATAATAAAGCAAATAGACATATGATTAATAAAACAAATTGATATACAAATAATAAAACAAATAAATAAACAAATAAATAAACAAATGATACATAAATAATAAAACAAAAAAATAAACAAATAATTAAAAAAATGATACATAGATAATAAAACTAATTGATATGCAAATAATAAAACAAATAGATATATAAATAATAAAGCAAATAAATACACAAATAATTAAAGAAATTGATATATAAATAATTAAACAAATAGATATACAAATAATAAAACAAAATTAATACAATGAAAGTTTATTAAGGTAGACCAAAAAGATTCAAGGGTACAACGATTAAGTACAACTGGTGGTTTAGAGCATTAGTTATGTTTTTGTGACAAATCCACATATTTCATGCTAGCTATAATCAAATATAAATCCAGCATGATATCAGTCATATTTAAACTTCAGAGTTTAATAAGGGAAATTTGTTATGGTGTACTTTAAACACTAGATACACAATAATCTGACAACAAGGAGATGGTGTTTATACTATAGTAGTAAAACATAAAAATTGTCAAAATCAAAAGGTTAAACTAATTTATGGGATAATTTTGATGAAAATAAATTGTTATAACTGACAAATAAATCAGTTTTTTTCAGGAACAATTTGTCCATTAACTATTTACTGTACTTTTCTAAATATCCATATTATTATTTCAGTAATGTATATTATTGTTTTTTCATTAACATTTACATATTTATCATACCATAAATTACAAATTTTTGCTTAACACTTGGTAACTATTTTTCTTTATTAACACAACTAATTTGAATTTTAGTTGGGTTGGTCGTAGGACTATGCAAAAGGTGTAAATTACTTAAACTTGATTAATTTTATGTTACATTTGTCCTATACAGTACTAATAAATGTTAGGTTTATAATGCTGAAAAGCAGATTAAAAGTAGATTACACATTGAAATACATACAACATGGTTTTAATGTGGTTCCTTTATAATCCTATATTTGATGAATTTTGGATAAATGATCTTTTTAGACTTTTATTAAATAATGCATATTGTTACAAACCTTGATTCAGAAGAGCCAATTAAGAAAAAAAAAATACGAATCAATTATAAACTGCATTTGTGCAGTAGCAGGTTGTGGATAAAATTTATCCTTGAATTAAATTTTCGACAGTAGTTACAACTGACAGGTATCTTTATCTCTTTTTGTCATGATCTTCACATCTTGCATTTTTTGTAGTATGTATGCTGTATATTTTGAGTAATTACAAAAACTGATATTAAAGTTTTCATATATTACATATACTCAATCATAATGCATTTATACAAAAAAAATACATTCGATAATTAAAATTATTTTAAGCTATTTAACCTTTTTCATATCCATTAAGTTTAGTTGGAGGACATCTCTTAATAATATGTGGATGATTTATGTTAATCAATGTATCCAGTAACCCTTGATTCATGTTCACATTAATTGTTTACAACTTTTGTTTTACAGTTCAGGTAACAAATATATCAACAAAGTAGAATATTATATCTTTCTCCGTCATGTTTAATTTATTATTTACATACAAAGTTTTCTTGCTTGCATGCCGGGGGACCCAGTATTTTGATCATGATTATTTGTATACATGCAAAATAAGGTATTTGGAATATAATGGCTATAGTTTCCTCGTCTAGAAAGTTAACCAAGTAGAATAAAACATTTAAACAAGGAAAATAAAACAGTTTGACTAAACACTGTAGAATTTATCTATTTGTTATTTTGATTTAAACCTGTAAATAATAGCAAAAAAAAGTTAAGGGCTATTTTACATCTATAGTCCAGCCTTTCAACAGTCCGGCAGCCAATCATTAAACAAAATTGAAATTTCTTTCAAGTCAAGATAGAGTCACCTTATATATGTACATTGATCCTGTTAAGTGTAGTTTATGTTATATGTTTTAGAACTGAAATTCTTCCTCTTCTAAGTTTGAATATATCTTGTAGATTTAACAAATATAGCTATTCCAAGTTTAATACTTATTCCAATATTTCTCAAGAATATGCTATAACTTTGGCAAGAGAGAAACTTAATTTTTTTTCTTCACAAACAAAAAGAAGAAAAGAGCTAAAAATAACTCATTCAGTTTCAAGAAAAAGAAGACGAATTATGTAAACAATACGGCATGATTAAATGGGCAGCTAATTAAAATAAAAAAAATCATGAATTAATTAGTATTAAATTATTTTCCTGCTAGGTTTTCAATCAAACAACTGACTAGCAACTATGAAATCAGTTTCTGTTCAAAAGAGCAGGCCTCACACCATGACAAGTGTGGCTGTTTGGACTGCAGTGTGCATTATAGCAATAAATTTTCATTTACTAAATATAAGAGAATGATATATCTTGTTTAAATGTTTCGTCTGGATGAACCGAAAGTTAAGATTAGTTAATAAGACAAAAGTTGACCATAATAATGCCAAGTTTAAACTTTGAAGACTGTATAGAACTAATATCTTCTACTACTAGTGATCAGGGTAAAAACTCTGAAGAGGGGAATCAAAGTGAGCCAGTGTGTAAATTCAATTGACCTTTTACGTTAAGAATTTGCATGTTCATTCTGAAAGAGAAACAATGTTGAAGATATTGTTGTTTTTCATGACTAAAAATTGCATAATTCTGATAATTCTAATAAATTTCTTGTCTAAGGCACTTTTCGGGAAAAGATCATAATTGAAATTATAATTTTCAAAATTATAAACAAAGTTTTAAGCTTTTCCAGGTAAAATTACAGTTACAGTCCATACAATCAAATTTTTCTTGACATTCAGGAAAAAATCCAATTTTTCTTGACATTCAGGAAAATCCTTAATGAGATTAAAAATGTAAATTTATCCTCCTTATTTTGTAGAGTGGCATATCCAAATAACAGTGTGTAAGTATAAGTCCAATTCACAATGTAAGTGACCCTTCATCAAAGAGGAGAATGGCCAATTTTTAACATAAAAATTCAGAATCTTCAGCTAATAACATGAAAGATAATTACAAATGTTTTTCAAGATTTTATTAGAAATAAAAGACAATCATCATTAGTCTTTATGCCATTTAGATTAGTCTAAAAATGACATCCATTGTCAATTCTAAACCTTGACAATGACATATTTTAGACAAGAGTTATATTTTGGTTTAACTAAACTGTCAACTGTTTGGAATTTCATCTTTATATATGAATACTTCATGCATATTGTCAGCACCTAGGTCCTATTCTCGTGTACAGGGTATCCCAATGAACACAGGAATTGGAAATCAAGTACAAAATCGTTTTAGTTGAGAATTAGCATCAAATGAAAGACTGTGTTTGTATAAGGAAATTGCCATTTTACAACATGCAGTATGCAGTCTAAACATGAACAATTATTAACTCAAGCAGACAAAAATTAATGGATTACAATAGGCAACTATACTAAATAAAAATCCATTTTCAAAGGTGATGTCAAAATCATCATGTCAATTATTGGAATGCCCATAATCAGATCAGACAAAATATGTTTCAATAGAACAAAAACAACAGACCACAAACTCTAATTTTCTGAACCCTGTGTCTTTACAACCCAATGTTGTAGACCTTGGATATGTCTATGAATTGTATAGTTAAAGGGATTAGAAAAGTTCAGTTTGTGGCAATGACTCAATTCTTGAAAAGAAGTTCAACTTTAGAAATAAGTTTAAATACAGAAAATAGTATGACAAAAATAAAGTTTACATTCTATTGTGACATATTAAGACAGCTCAAAAACTAGTTATAATGTAAACAAACAAAATTCATTTAACAAATATTTCTGGAACAGAGTGACTGAGTTTCAGTTTTAGTGTCAATTTCATGACTATAGTTTCAGTTTCAGTTTCAGTTTCAGTTACAATTTCTGCTTTAGTTTCAGCTACAATTTTTAATTTAAATTTCAGTTTCAATGTCAATTTAAATTTTAGATTCAATTTTAGTTTAAGTTTTAAGAATCTTCTTAAATTTTGATTGACTTATTTGTTTGTTTATTTCTAATATTGTAGTGTAGACTGCTGAGGTTGACTGTTACTGTCTGGAATATCAAGGGATCAGGGTCAATATATCAAATACTGGCGGATATAGACCAGACACCAGATTAATGGACTTTTCATTAAATCTATGGACGACTCTGCACTTGGCAATAAAGTTTCTTACAATTTTATCATTTCTGAAATATAAGATAAAAAGATTTATTCAAATGGATTTCAAATTTATTTAAACTGTTTCCTTAAATTTCTTCCATTTTTGAGGAACAATCCCTTATCTTTAACCCTAAATCTGATAGCTATAGCTATGATTTTTCAGAATCCCAGTTTTCCTTTGTATCTTTAACAGTTTTTGTAAATTCTGATTAGAATATTAAGATTTCTAATTTAAACTTAAGTCATTGTAATTACCCTTCAAATATCTTTTTATTTTATTGTACAATGGTAATTATACCTTTTGTTAATTCATATTTAATTCTACCTTTGTAATTTTACCTTTTAATATTCCATATGCAAATATACCAATATAATTTTACCTTTTAACATTCCATATTCGAATATACCAATATAATTTTACCTTTTAATATTCCATATTCGAATATACCAATATAATTTTACCTTTTAACATTCCATATTCGAATATACCAATATAATTTTACCTTTTAACATTCCATATGCGAATATACCAATATAATTTTACCTTTTAACATTCCATATTCGAATATACCAATATAATTTTACCTTTTAACATTCCATATTCGAATATACCAATATAATTTTACCTTTTAACATTCCATATTCGAATATACCAATATAATTTTACCTTTTAACATTCCATATGCGAATATACCAATATAATTATACCATTTATGAAACTATAGTGTACTTTATCATTATTACTCACTTCATCCTGAATTTCAAAATGAACATGCTACAAAGTAATCATAATGCCATAATGATAAACTAGCTATACATTATGGTATGTGTGCTATAAAGTTTTGAATGGTTCCCAGACATTCTCCAAAATTTGTTGGATATTTCCAGAATATTTTCTTTCAATTGAAATAAAAAAATTTATATTTTGACTTGTTTCTAAGCTTATTTTATCTAGAAACAGCCATTGAAATACGACAAGTACACAAACATTTCATATAAATTACCTAGAACCATTTTTTTGGCACAACATGCTATAACGTTTTTGGACTTAAATTTTCTCTATATCTCAAAGGTTTCTGCTTTTTTGGGATCATATTTTGTCCCTTGCTAAAGTTTGGGACAAAATTGAATCTAAAAAAGGCCTTAACCTCAATACACTTTATAATAATGCAAACCAAAATAACAAATAAATAGTTATTAATATTCCAATATTAAATTCTACCAATATAATTTAGTATTCCATACTCAACTCTATCAATATAAGTATACCTTTAATATTCATATTGAATTCTACCCTTTGTAATAATACCTTTATAGACCTTTAAACTAAGAATTCTGTTAGAGTAAATAAATTTTAAACTTTACCAACAGGTTGTTAAGTGTTGAAAATTTGAGTTTGTTGCAAAGACTTAGCTCCATTGTTAATGGAACCTTGAATTATTTAGATAAATAATCTAAAGTTAGCAAACTTTAATATTAGTTACTTCCTTATTGTCATTTTTCTTACATAAGATTTCAGTATTGGAAAGAGTTATTCATTTTTCCTTAATGTCTTAGTTTTTAGTTTATTGTGAAAAGGCAAATAGGCTAAATTTGGTTATATCGAAAACAAAAATTACCAGGACACCCCCTGTTTTGGGTTTTAGAAGAATGATGTATTTTTTGTGATAATAATATTGCCACTTGTAGAGCAACAGCTGTGAAGTTTTACAAAAGCCAGTCTTATGGTAATGGTAAATTATATGTAAAATTGAATATAGTTAAACTGAACTAGTAAAAAATATGATAATGTGAATTGCTATGTGTAGTTTAATGAACTAAGCATTATTTATTGTGTAATATATCTTTGAGGAGTCTTCTGTATATTCTTCCTTCGCGTCCACTCGTCCAGGATATCTCCCCCCCCCCTGACATTAAGCTGTTTATAATGAAATTGATGAAAACATGGCACACCAGATTCCTTTTCCCTCATAAGAATTTATCCTTTATTTGATTATGCTATTTCGAAAATTTCTAAAATCCTTATGTAATGAATATTTGTTTTAATTTGACTTGAGAGCAGAACTTGGTTAAAATTCAAATTCAATACTACAATTTAAAAGAGCATAAGGAGCCTAACTTTTATTTTTAATTTTGTTTGTCTAAATCTAGCTCTTCCCAAATCATTGTTTGTCTTTCTTTGTTATGTAATTATATGAAGTTGCTCAAGTATTGTTAGATTTAAAGGGGGATACTACTACTGTACAGTTTTCCTTTCACTTCTACAGTTGCATGATTGCTTACACTGTGTTTCCATCGTCCCAAAACTGGAATGTCTCGTAAGGACTCCTGATTTCAAAGGTCAGTTTAGCTTGATTTCTCCCTATAATAGGAAGTTGAGCCCAAACCTCCTTGGTATACTTATCTTATGATGCATTTACTCTGCTTTAGCGATAGTATGGTTATCTAATTTATATATGATGTATTACTAAAAAGGGGGAAAGCAGCTTCACAAGTGAAAAATATAAATATTATTCAATATATTTTACTCCTAATAAACATTCATAAAGAAAGATAAATAATTAATATTACTTTGAAGATATTAGATTTAAAGGTAAACGATTTCTCCCATTCCTCTGGTGTAAACCAAAGCAAGAAAATATGCTGAACTTCTGATATAATATTCCTATATTTCTTAGATAATAAGCTTATTATTAAAGAAAAAATTATAAATGGATTTCTTCCTTGTTAAACTTTTTGTAACCAGAGCTGGGAACTTTAGAATGGTGGATATTGAGATCAATGCTTGATCCTCTCTTTTTCTAAATCTGAAGACTAAACTAATCTTGTACTTTTATCCTGAAAATTGTATAAAATCAACCAATCAGAGTCTCGTATCAGAACTTCAGAAACCAGGAAATTTGAAATTTTGGGGTTCTAAACCTCCCTCGCTACGCTCGTGAGGTTTAGAACCCCAAAAAGGTCTTGGAGGCCCTCGGCTAAGTGGTTTTCCCCTCAATTTAATTTTCCTCCCTTAATCTCCCGGTTAAGTAGTAATTAATAGTTATAAACATTGATTGTGTAATCTAAAAACAGTTTCATTTTTATGTATCACGGTCACCATATCGCCATTTCATCCAATTAAAACTAAAATTTCATTTTATTCTTAAAAAAAGTGTAAATAAATTGGTGAGCTAAAATATTTAATTTGAAATAAAACCAAATATTATATTCTTTAATACGTATACTAAATACTAATTAAAAAAATATTATTATCGTTACAATATTCTACCCCTCCCCGCTACAATATCCACTCCCCCTCTCTACTGGGATAAGGCTGATTCCCCAGTTGTATAAGATTGATGTCTAATATAATAAACAATCATAATATTTATGTATTCAGGAATTGTCTTTGAAAGTGTCTTCAAAATTTCAAAAGTAGAGATTTATAATGTAATATCAAAAATAAAATTGTTAAGATGATCTAAGGTCGGAATTAATAAATAGCGAAAAGTGGTTTAACTAGAATGCTGTGAGCTCGAGATCAACTACTTCTCGCTATAAAAAGCCAAGAAAGATTGCATCAAATTCAAAAACTGGTTAAACTGGGTTTTATAATGTGTCGCACACCTCAAGTCTAAAAAGTACTGTACATGCATAATTCGAGCAGGTAGTACATGTGCTGTATATGCATAATTCGAGCAGGTAGAACATGTACTGTTTATGCATAATCCGAGCAGGTAGAACATGTACTGTATATACATAATCCGAGCAGGTAGATCATGTGCTGTATATGCATAATCCGAGCAAGTAGAACATGAATTGTATATACATAATCCGAGCAGGTAGAACATGTACTGTATATGCATAATCCGAGCAGGTAGAACATATACTGTATATAGATAATCCGAACAGGTAGAACATGTACTGTACATGCATAATCCGAGCAGGTAGAACATGTACTGCACATGCATAATCCCAGCAGGTAGAACATGTACTGTATATACATAATCCGAGCAGGTAGAACATGTACTGTATATACACAATCCGAGCAGGTAGAACATGTACTGTATATACGTAATCCGAGCAGGTAGAACATGTACTGAATATGCATAATCCGAGCAGGTAGAACATGTACTGTATATACATAATCCGAGCAGGTAGAACATGTACTCTATATACATAATCCGAGCAGGTATAACATGTACTGTATATAGATAGTCCGAACAGGTAGAACATGTACTGTACATGCATAATCCGAGCAGGTAGAACATGTACTGTATATACATAATCCGAGCAGGTAGAACATGTACTGTATATACATAATCCGAGCAGGTAGAACATGTACTGTATATACATAATCCGAGCAGGTAGAACATGTACTGTATATACATAATCCGAGCAGGTAGAACATGTACTGTATATACATAATCCGAGCAGGTAGAACATGTACTGTATATACATAATCCGAGCAGGTAGAACATGTACTGTATATACATAATCCGAGCAGGTAGAACATGTACTGTATATACATAATCCGAGCAGGTAGAACATGTACTGTATATACATAATCCGAGCAGGTAGAACATGTACTGTATATACATAATCCGAGCAGGTAGAACATGTACTGTATATACATAATCCGAGCAGGTAGAACATGTACTGTATATACATAATCCGAGCAGGTAGAACATGTACTGTATATGCACAATCCGAGCAGATAGAACATGTACTGTATATACATAATCCGAGCAGGTAGATTATGTACTGTATATGCATAATCCGAGCAGGTAGAACATGTACTGTATATGCATAATCCGAGCAGGTAGAACATATACTGTATATAGATAATCCGAACAGGTAGAACATGTACTGTACATGCATAATCCGAGCAGGTTGAACATGTACTGTATATACATAATCCGAGCAGGTAGAACATGTACTGTATATTCATAATCCGAGCAGGTAGAACATGTACTGAATATGCATAATCAGAGTTGGTAGAACATGTACTGTATATTCATAATCCGAGCAGGTAGAATATGTACTGAATATGCATAATCAGAGTTGGTAGAACATGTACTGTATATACATAATCCGAGCAGGTAGAATATGTACTGTATATGCACAATCCGAGCAGGTAGAACATGTACTGTATATGCACAATCCGAGCAGGTAGAACATGTACTGTGTATGCATAATCCGAGCAGGTAGAACATGTACTGTATATACATAATCCGAGCAGGTAGAACATGTACTGTATATGCATAATCCGAGCAGGTAGAACATGTACTGTATATGCACAATCTGAGCAGATAGAACATGTACTGTATATACATAATCCGAGCAGGTAGATTATGTACTGTATATGCATAATCCGAGCAGGTAGAACATGTACTGTGTATACATAATCCGAAAGTGTATAGTCGACCCAACGTATTTAATCCAATAAGTGTCTCCTGGTAAGGGTACATTGTGCAACACCTTGGCCTTTGATTTTACCTCACTAACTCTTTTATACTTTTTGTGGCCCTTATTCTATACTTCACTAACTCTCTTGTAATTTTTGTAGCCCTTATTTTATACCTAAATAACTCTTTTATACTTTTGTGTGGCCCTTATTTTATACCTCACTAACTTTATTTTACTTTTGTGTAGCCCTTATTTTATACCTCACTAACTTTATTATAATTTTTGTAGCCCTTATTTTATACCTCACTAACTTTATTATACTTTTTGTGGCCCTTATTTTATACTTCACTAACTCTCTTGTAATTTTTGTAGCCCTTATTTTATACCTAAATAACTCTTTTATACTTTTTTGTTGCCTTTATTGTATGCCTGACTAACTCTTTTATACTGTGTTATAGCCCTTATTTTATAACTTACTAACTCGTTTAAACTATTTCGTAGCCCTTATTTTATACCTCATTAACTCTCTCATACTTTTTTGTAGCCCTTATTTTATACCTCACAAACTCTCTTGTAATTTGTGAAATTTTATACCTCTCTAATTATTTTATGGGTTCCACTGTAAGATAAAATCTTGAATGAAGGAACTGGGTACAATACTTGCCCACCCAGATTTTCATTTAACTTTAAACATTGTACGTTGAATTGTAGACCAACATGCAATAGAATTTAAAATGAAAAAACCTGAAGAGCCTTGGTTTTTTCTATACTAGGGTTTTCAGCGAAAAATACAGAATTTTTAAAATCAAATGCTAAACTCAAACATTTATTAAAGTAAAAGAAGAGAAATTATTTATATGACATAATAAAACTTCAAATATTGAGCTTTCAGAGCAGAGAATTCCACAAGTTCTTTTGAGCAATTAATTGTTGCAGCTATATAACTAATGGTCTTCACAAAATTTTCGCATTTTCGCGTTTCGCATTTTCGCTTCATTTCTTTTCGCGAAAAAGTTTGCGAAATGCGACCAAAAATTTTCGCATTTTTTCGCGAAACGTTTCGTTCGCTGGAAACCCTAGTCCAGACCACACGCTACAATTGTCTAATCCCTGTATCTATGATGTAAAACTTCATATATTCTTAGTAATATCATCCATATCAAAGGTCTTCAACATCAGGTTGCAAAGAAAGTAGAATTTAATTAACTAAGTGCAGTAATCAGTTCTTTTTCCTTAATAGAGGGCTAACTCTAAAGACGTTTTTGGTATGAAAACTTAAATTTTTATCTGCAATAAAAAAAAGACATTTTTATTAATACATACATATATATTTTCTGATGTTTATGTAATATAATATTTTACACTATTCTACATCACAGAATTCACAGCCTTATCACACAAGTTTAATATTTCAAATTATTACTTTAATTTTTAATCAAAGTTAAAACCAGAAAGTGAGAGAGAAATAAAACTAGTTTTACACCTTAACAAAGGACGTAGGAGTAATTCTAAGGGACCCTAGCTCTTAAGTGACATGTACAATTAACAATATTACCCTTCAAACCTGTGTTGGATTAAAAATAAATGAGATATATTTGTTTTTCTAAGTTAAAATTTATTATTTTCAATTATGGTTTCTTTGTAAAAGTGACATGATGTTTTGTTTAAAAATAAAAACGGTTGAAATTGTAAGAATTTATCACTTCCAGAATATCTTTAAAATCTTTCTCACTGTTGATCAGATAAATGTTTATATCGGAGAATCGGACATGCCACTCTATAAAGAAGGGTTCCTTAAACTTTTATCTACCTACAACAGTCCCCTCTAGTTCTAAAATATCTATTTTAAAGTTTTTTACTAAAACAAATATTTGCCGGTTTATAAAATGAAAAGCAACTTTTGTTTACAGGATGAAGATTACTGATGTAACAGAATTACTTTCGGTTTCTGAAAAATTCATTAAAATTATATATAATATAATTCTGATCCTACATCAAATAATAACTTGTTTTTCACTTTTAACTTTTAATTGAAATTTCAATTAAAGCATCAAAGGAATCTCCACTAAGGAGACGGAATACCTTGTTTAACTCTGAAAAGTTGAATGGCCTCATGGATAGTTCAGGGGGTGTACTCTTTGAGACAAGGAATTAATTTGCAAGTCATACTGGGATAAGCAAAACTCTTTTTTTAAGGTTTTTTGGACGTTTCCACAAATAAACTTTTGAAGATTACATTTTTTTGAGCTTGATAGGGGGATGGCTTTATAAAATGAGCGATATTGGAAAAAAAACCCCCCCCCCCCCTCCCTAAACCCCACTCCTCCTCCTCTACATCCTGTTCAGAGTTAAATGGGTAACACATATAGTCAATTCAACAACATCTAAAAATTTTACAGTCTTCACATAGATTGGAAGGTTGACATTTTTTTTTTATTTACTTTAGCAAAAATTGGTTTTATTGGTCTTATTGTCAAGATTAAATCTTTACTAGTTTTTTTCCCAAGCATTTAAACATGCTTTTAACGTTGTAGTTGGGATAACAGTTACTGTTTAAGCGCTAATAATAATATTCATAATTTATAGAATATACAAAATTTGTACAACATAGAGCACGGTTTTATAAGTATCTCATTGTATTCATACTAAATATTGGTATCAAGATGAGTAGGTGCGACGGGTTGGAGAGAAGAGATGATCTGGAAGCAGAACCTGTGTCTGGTTGCAGCAGAGGGAATTCAGGCTCAATCTCTGATTCAGATTTTACCACTGTTAACTGCTGTGGGGATTCATCAACACCTAAATAATCAAATATTTAAACACTTTGGAATTGAGTATTCACATTAGTTCAAAAGTTGCATGAACCGGTCTAGTCTTTACCGTACCGGCCCGTCTAGTGTACCGAATTTTTAAAGTTGCATGAACCGGTACAAGGACTTCGGACTAGTCTTTACTGTACTTGCACGTCTAGTGTACCCAGTATGTGGTTGATCCAGCGCAATTATGCAACAGAATTAGGCGGTTATATATAGTACAAGGACTTTGGTCTAGTCTTTACTGTACCGGCCCATCTAGTGTACCAAGTTTGTGAAGTTGCATGAAATCGGTACAAGGACTTCGGACTAGTCTTTACTGTACTTGCCCGTCTAGTGTACCCAGTATGTGGTTGATCCAGCGCCTTTATGCAACAAAATTAGGCGGTTTAACTATAGTTTCTTTGCCACAACCTCAGATGATTTAATTTATTAACCTTTGCAACCCAATGCCATAGACCTTAGATGTTTCAAACTATGGATTCTTATGTAAAATCAAACAATTTATAAGTTTGAAATATCAAACTTATCGTTACTCATCAGCTTGCAAGGATGAAGGGATTATAAAATTTGATTTTGTGACAAAGACTCAATTCCTTATGGTAGGGCCATGTTTATTAAAGGATTGTTCCCCGGTAAATATAAAGATAAATATAAAGATATAAATAATACCCAAATATAAAGATGAATATAAAGATATATATAATAAATAATTAAGTTTATAGGATCACAATGAATAACATAAAGGTAACAAAAAGTAAAAAAGTTATGATTACTGAAATTGAAATTCTGTACGAAATGATTTTAAAAATCTACAAAATTTACAAAATACAATTCAAGGACAATTTTGAACAACAGCTGTTGTCTTCCTGTTAAAGATATCCCAGAGGACTAATTCTACTTGTATCTCTTTATTTATAATTGTGTTTTGAAGTTATGGCATCTTTTTTCCTTACAAAAGTTTCAGTAAAAAAACTTTTCATTCGGTTAAAATATAGATATTGTTAACATTTTTTTATTTTTTCTACCATTGACTTTTTAAAAATCATTATCAGTCTCTGTACGTAAAAAACTCGTTCTAATTCGAAGATAATTTTTCAAGTGTTATTTTATTGGCACTGCGTAGTCCGGTTCATTTTAATTACGATCTGACATTTTTTTAATCAGCTAGGGCAGGCTGTACTGTTGTACATACTTCGTAGTCCGGTTCATTTTAATTACGATCTGAGCCCAAAACTTAAGTCAGAGTTTTGTTATGAAAACCAGTTTTAGAACCCGGGTTTCACGAATGGGGTTAGGCAGTTTTGATGATATAGATTTTTGTTATGAAATTTTATTATATTTAGTTTCTTTATATTCTCCAATTTGTTCGAATCTTTAAATCAAAATCTACACAAAAGTCAAGACCCCAAAAAAGAAACTCGGGAGTTTCGTTCAACAATACTCTTTTAAATTTCGGACTCTGACATTTTTTAATCAGCTAGAGCAGGCTGTACAGTTGTACAATGTACATACTTTATGAGGCAAAACGGGACGGTACGCCAAATGAATAATCTTTTAATGAAATTGTTGTATTGGATTAGAGTTTTTATAAAACATGACAAAAAATATTCAGTATTTGGACAAATTGTTGTTTAATGTAAATAAAGTTATTTGGAGTGTGTTGAGTGTAAGTGTATATATATAAGTCTAAGTATAAACAATAAATGAGTTAGGGTTTATATATTAGATATATTGTGTTTCTAGCATAATCCAATACCAAGATGGATGGAAAGGAAATGGATTCATTAAGAATAAATCCTTATCTATTTTTTCTGTAACTAATTCACTTTGAGGCCTTTTTTTGAAGCAAATAAAGCAAAGATTCATGTCCAGTGCATTTCTTTGATCAGGCCCAGGGTTGTTAAACAAACCTACCTTTAACATAGAAATTGAAGAGATCAGATTTTGAGGAGATTCCAAACATGTTCTGTGCTCGAACTATTACATCATAAACAACACGATTCTCCAGGTTCTTAATCACATAGTAACCCTTGTAGTTCATCCCTGCTCCAAGAGTTGTTACCGGAATAGCAACCTCGTTCCAGCCCCGATCTCCTTTAGCTGTACCAGCCTAAAACAGAGCAAATCAAAAACCGAAAAATAACAAACTCTCACAACGAAACTAATAATCCTCCACACAGGAATTGAGCTTCGGGATAACTTTTTTTATCCATATATCGTAGCAACCTGACGTACATTATTTGATCAAACAGAATTCATAGTTTAAAATATCTTCAAATATATGGGGATTGTAAAATTGTAAAGGATCTCAGTAAACTTTAAAAGGATCAAAATTCTATCCAGATTATACAAACCTTATTTTTCCTGTAGTACAGGAAATAGTCCGTGACCGGCGCAAAACTATCCGTTGTCCAGCTGACGTTGAACTCTCTAGTCCTTGGCAGGATGTTGGGCTGGGTCATCGTGAACTTCGGAGTTCGAGGGGCTCCTGTAAAAAAAACATGGATGAATTTTTTTAAAGGAAATGATTATTTTCATTAAAATTAGATTTTTCAGTTGTCAATTTATAATATTCTAAAACTTTATTTATTTTAAGGTATGCAAAATTTGCATCCTAAGAAAAGATTGTTTGCATATATCTAGTTTATCAAAGGGTTAAAAAGCAAATGTGTAGAATAAACAATTTTGAAATTTGTTTAAAGCTCTCAGATTTTTGGGAACCTGAGAAAAGTCAACAAGTTTTGTAAAAAGTAGTTGAAGAGTAAACAGTTTTTACCGTTACCACATTTTTTCAGATTATTTCATCTAAAAAAAAAACATATCTTATGACACCCTGTACCTGTTAATGCAATCGCTGCACTGGATTTGCCAAGAGGGTTGTCTGCCTCACAGCTGAAGTTTGTAAAGAACTTCTTCTCCAGGCGTTCAATATTTAATATCAGTCTATACCAAATAGGTTTAGAAGCTTAAAAACCTGACAATTTTGCATAAAAGTAAAAAAAATATTCATTTTTATAATGTCTACGAACTTACATATTTCAAACAATAAATTCTGTTAGATCAAAAAACCCAAGTTTTAAATATCAAAGATGTTAACCATCAGGTTGCAAAGATATCGGAATCAGCTGATTTGAGTTTGTTATTATTAACATGTTTTTTACAATCGATTGAATTTACCAAATTCTTGTAAACCCTTTCCTATCTCCTTTACGTTCCAGTAACATCTGATCATCTGTTGATAACCGACGTTTAGGGGCCTGATACCATGCAATCTAAACATTTAAAAAAATGTTAAAAGAACTATCTTCGTGATTCCAAGCGACCCTCCATATAAAGGGTGGCATACACAATTCACAAAATACCATCTAAACCTTGATCTGATTAATCTATAGAATGGAGGATCATTTGTAATTACGTATACAGCCCCTTTAATTAATGTTCGATGTATTGTATTTAAACATTACTCTTGGTATATGGAGGAAACATTAATATTTGATGGGTAATGAGAATTTATTGAACAAACCGTCGCAAACTTCTAGCATAAAATAGAATATATAATGTAGCAGGAAAGTGATGTGTTGATCTTTCCTGCGATCATAAATAGTATTTTTTCCCTCTTTCCATCATTTCCAGTTTCTCCTCCCCACCCCTTTTTCCATCCCTCATCAAATCTAACGGATTTTTTCCTGTTTGTGTTTGAATTCCATAAATAACCCAAGCCACGCGGAGAAACCGAAGCCAAGCGCAAAGTTCCGTTATTCCAGAAACCCGGGGGCTGGTGGGCTAGCCGGCCAGCTCACGGGGTACTAGGGTTAAATGCTAGCCCAGGGTGGAGCGAAATCTGGGGAAAAAGAGTTAGTTGATCATCAGCTCCCTTAACTAGAGGTTCCCTTGAAGATTCCCCATCACTCTGAATTAACTTCAATTCATAATACTTGATTCGTATAGTATCATCCTTTTAGTTTTTGTATCGTTGTAAATAATAAACTGTAAGAAAAACCGAGTCGTTGAATATTAATAATACGAGTGATTGCCTTGACTAATTTTCCTTCATATGTAATAAAAAATATTACCCATTGGGAAAATTTAGAAGTGAAACGAATTTTTTCAGCGACATTTTTCGCAGGATATTTTTTACATCTTACACTTTATCATTAACCAATCTATCTACCCACCCACTTTATCATTAACCAATCTATCTACCCACCCATTTTATCATTAACCAATCTATCTACCCACCCACCTTATCATAAACAAATCTATCTACCCACCCACTTTATCATTAACCAATCTATCTACCCAACCACTTTATCATTAACCAATCTATCTACCCACCCACCTTATCATAAACAAATCTATCTACCCACCCACTTTATCATTAACCAATCTATCTACCCAACCACTTTATCATTAACCAATCTATCTACCCACCCACTTTATCATTAACCAATCTATCTACCCACCCATTTTATCATTAACCAATCTATCTACCCAACCACTTTATCATTAACCAATCTATCTACAAGTTTTCTAGTATTCAGGTCTCTGTGGAGATAACTTGTATCAACTATATTGGAATAAGTTTCCTCCAATAGTACTTTTTCTACACAGAACTTGGACCACTACTTCTACTACTGCTGGGTGCTCTTCAATAACTTTCCTAATTCAAACTTTTATATTAAAACTAATATTTCAGAAAAAATGAACTCAGTTTTTTTCTTTCCTGATAATAGCATTTGAGACAAAGACTCATGATAAAGGGCTAAAAATCAGAAAATCAGTGACACATGATCGTCAACTTTCACTAACTAACCAAGGTGGGTGAATGAGCTAACCAACTTTACTAACTAACCTGGGCTGGTGGAAGAGCTAACATACTCCACTAACCAACCAGGGTGGGTAGATGAGCTATAAATTAACTCCACTAACTAACCAAGGCAGGTAAATGAGCTAACCAACTCCACTAACTAACCAGGGCGCGTGGAAGAGCTAACCAACTCCACTAACTACCCTTGGCTTGTGGATGATCTAACCAACTCCACTTACTAACCTGGGCGGGTGGATGAGCTAGTACAGAGCAGACCAGCTCCACCTCCCAAACTCCTTGTTCTCTTAGTATCCAGTTTTCTTCTATGCTTACTTCGGGAGGATCTGAAAAAAAAAATATATTTTTTTGTTATTCTAATTTTTTTCTATCTTAATTAGATCCACACTTGCTCAAAGTCATTCTGTAATTTCGTTGGGCAACAACTTTTAAAAAACGATATATAATATTGTGTAATTTGGTTCAACTAATTTATTGAAAAAATATTGGTTATATTTTGGGGGTCCTAAGGTGTATTTAGAACAAATAGTGAGATATATAAAGATACCCACACAAATGATGAGACTTGAATAACGACTCGAACTAAAAGATGTTAATGTTATGAATTGCAAGTATAAGAAAATACTAATTCCATGAAGTTGTTATTAAAGTCTCATCTGAGGCCGTTCCTTCCATAAACAACATTGGTCGACAACAACGTCTCCTATATTGGTCGTCAAATGTACGGAGAAATATCTATCTATCAGATAAGAATTTAGCATGAGACATCTTGCGGCCAACATATCGTCCCCCAAAGTACGTGAACTACACGACCACTATCTATAGAGAGAACAGGCTCTGTAGTAGTTGTCTCTGTACATTTTACTTACATAGAACTTCCACTCTGGTCATTTGTTCTGTTTTCTGCCCAAACTGGTTTTGTGCAGTACAGATATAAATTCCAGCATCGTGCCGCGTCAAGGGACCTAGCAGCCCCTTACCATAACCATTAGGGGCACTGGGTATTATCTAAAATAAAATATTATTATTGTTTACAAATGGATATAATGGATGGATTTATAAAAAATCTATAAACCAAGTACACATAAATTTTAAAGTAACATGATCCGAAGTGGCACAAGGATGTATCAAACCGTCTGTATCATAATTGTATGCTGATTCAATTCTTCTTTATACGAATAAATATTACGTTAAATGTACTAAAACTTTGATAAAAGATTTCTTAAACAATCAGCCTTTCTGTGTCTATTATACAATGTAAAGCCTCTGAATAAAACATGACTTAATCCCTAAAAGGACTGAACACTTTCCTCAAAAGCTTACGTTCAAATTTCTCTAAAAGAAACCTGAGGCCGAATTTAAAGAATTTGAGCCGCGGTTTAAATTTAAGCCGCGGCTTAATTATGATTGGTTTCACTTAAAATTGTATCAATATTTAAGCCGGCGCTCAATTTAAACCGGGTTTTGGTGGAATTAAGTCGCGACTTAAATTCTTTAAATTCGGCCTCTGATGGTTTATAGCTTGATAAACTTTAAATATTTGTTGATGTTGCAGAGTTCTAAGTTTGACATCAGGTTGCAAAAATATAGTGATGAACAATAGTGATTGCCATGGGGCACTAGTTTTTATACATTATTATTATACAAACTGTTTCACTTGAGAATTGCTAATAATTACAGAATCCCTTGCTGTATAAGCCTTGCTTTTATTACCATTTGTGAAAATTTTAACCCTTAACAAATTTACAAATAATTTGATAACAAATATTTTTGACAGAGTCAATATTTTGCAAGTAAATTAATATCAATAATAGATATTTAAAAAAAAGAAATATTAAGTAAGTTTGTCCAACATTTTTTTGAACATATTCTCATGTTTTTTTGAATCGATCTTTCTCAAAGTTGTTCCATGCTCATTTAATATCCCTCAGGTAAAGTGCTTGCTGGTAGATCCTTTATAAGTCAAGCAATGCCAAGCTTTATGATAAACGGTCATGCAACCAGGTTCTAGGCACTAGGCATGTCTTGCATTATTTCCTTTATTTTTACACTTTAATTGAATAAGGTCAGACAAGCAGACTACTGATAAGCATCGTTGTTAGGTCATTTTGGAGGTCCGTTGTGAGGTCCGTTGTGAGCTTCGTTTTGAGGTCCGTTTTGAGGTACGTTGTGAGGTCCGTTTTGAGGTTCGTTTTGAGGTCCGTTTTGAGGTCCGTTTTGAGGTCCGTTGTGAGATCCGTTTTGAGGTTTATTGTGAGGTCCGTTTTGAGGTCCGTCTTGATGTCCGTTGTGAGGTCCGTTTTGAGGTCCGTTGTGAATTCCGTTTTGAAGTCCGTTTTGAGGTCCGTTTTGAGGTCTGTTTTGATATCCGTTTTGAGGTCCGTTTTGAAGTACGTTTTGAGGTCCGTTTTGAGGTCCGTTTAAGGTCCGTTTTGAGGTCCGTTTTGAGGTCCGTTTTGAGGTCCGTTGTGAGGTCTGTTTTGAGATCCGTTGTGAGGTCGTTTTAGGTTCGTTAAGAAGTCCGTTTTGAGGTCCGTTTTAAAACTTTCTCGGTATTATGTCTTTTAAAGGGCTTCACAATAATCTTATATTTGTTATCTTTCTCGTAGTTGTAATCTTGATAAATCTGTTGTTATTACATTTTTCAAAATGTTTACTCCGCCCAAAAATTAGCTTGATGTAATACAAGCAAACTAATATAAAATCAAATTTGCATAATGTGATAATCATCCGAATGTGTGAAGAAAGCCTTAAGCCAACGCCCATTCCTAGACCAGACTCTACTCCATGACGCAAATAAAACCATTATACAAAATAAGTAAGTTTACTATGCGGTTTCAAATTCTTATACGCCCTTTATAAATACTTATGTTCATAATATTAATCTATATTCAACATGGGAGGGGGTGGGGGGGGGAGTAATACGTATTTACTTTCTAGGTATTCAATATAAAAACCAATCAAATATTCTTCAATGTAGAATGATTAGAAGAAACCATTGTGGGATTATATGACAAATGATATAACTAGTCATATATTTACTGGCATAGTATATGTTCAAGTAGGCATGCTGTGATGATGGGTAAACACGTTCAAGTATGCATACTGTGATGATGGGTATACATGTTCAAGTAGGCATGCTGTGATGATGGGTATACATGTTCAAGTAGGCATGCTGTGATGATTGGTATACATGTTCAAGTATGCATGCTGTGATGATGGGTATATATGTTCAAGTAGGCATGCTGTGATGATTGTTATACATGTTCAAGTAGGCATGCTGTGATGATGGGTATACATGTTCAAGTATGCATGCTGTGATGATGGGTATATATGTTCAAGTAGGCATGCTGTGATGATTGTTATACATGTTCAAGTAGGCATGCTGTGATGATGGGTATACATGTTCAAGTATGCATGCTGTGATGATGGGTATACATGTTCAAGTATGCATACTGTGATGATGGGTATATATGTTCAAGTAGGCATGCTGTGATGATAGGTATACATGTTCAAGTAGGCATGCTGTGATGATGGGTATACATGTTCAAGTAGGCATGCTGTGATGATGGGTATACATGTTCAAGTATGCATGCTGTGATGATGGGTATACATGTTCAAGTATGCATTCAATGTTGTTGGTAATAAATGTTTAGGTATCCATGCTGTGTTGATGGTTATATATGCTCATTACTCAAATATTCATACTGTATTGATATGGGCATACTTGTTTAAGTGTAAGCATTATTTGTTGATGGGTATACATGTTCAATTATGCATGCTATGTTGATGGGTATACATGTTCAAGTATGCATGCTATGTTGATGGGTATACATGTTCAAGTATGCATGCTATGTTGAGGGGTATACATGTTCAAGTATGCATGCTATGTTGAGGGGTATACATGTTCAAGTATGCATGCTATGTTGATGGGTATACATGTTCAAGTATGCATGCTGTGATGATGGGTATACATGCTCAAGTTTTCATACTGTGTTGATGTGCGCGCATACTTGTTTAAGCGTATGCATATTCTCTTGATGGGTATGCATGTTCACGTTTGCATATTGTATTAAAGGAAATAAATGTTCAAGTTTGCATGCTGTGTTGTGGGAATGCATGTAAGGTATGAATGCTGTGTTGGGGAATTCATGTTAAAGTATGTATGTTGTTTTTGGTAATAAATGCTAAGGTATGCATGCATTGATTAGGGATATACATGTAATGCATGCTGTGTTGGGGAGAATATATGCTATTATATGCACTATGCATGCTGTTTTAACCAACCCTCTATATTGAATTATCTTACCCTTGATGTTGAGTGTTGTGTCCATGATATGGATGGAGGTGGATCTCCTTCAGCTGAACAGCTGAGGGTCAACATGTCCCCTGAGTTCCCCTTGATGGAGTTGTTCCAGCTCGTGATCTCAGGAGGAACTAAATATTAAAGAATTAAAATTATGTTTAAGTGCATAGCTAGTTGCATTATCTGTAAATGAAATGTATTTTGATTGAAAAAAAAGTAAAATATTTAAAAACATGCTTGTACATTGCACAACATACTTTAGAATGGTAAAACTGTATGTATGAACGTATTTATGTGCCCAATGTATGTTACCAAAGGCCGACCGAACAGTTCCTCTTATAGTTTATAAAGTAGTAATCTCCATTGCGTGTTTGTATGTCCGATCATAACTCACGAACCTCTTGACAGCATTATCTAACATTTTGATAAAAGGACACTGGATAGAACCACTGGAATTTTCTTAGCTTGGTTTCAACGTTCTACGTTGAGTGGGCTGACTATGTATATAGCTGACCAAACGGCTGGTCCGATTGAGCTGATTTTATTTTTTGAGGAAACCAAAGGGTACTCGAGGGTTACATAGGCTAATAAAATAGACTTTTTTAAAATAAAATATTATTTTTAAAATTCAATTATTTTTTCAAGTTAAATTTTATTTTTAAATTGGAATTTTTCTTTAAAATTCAATTTTTTTCTACCACGCTAGGCACTTCAGGTATAATAAAAATTCGAACGAAGTTTATTCTCAATTGTGTGATACAACACTATATATGTTTGTTACATTTTTCCCGTAAACAAGTAGATTGTAGGTTCTGTGTTCAAATAAATTCTTGGAAAGATATTGAAGTTTGTAGAAAAAGAAAATGCAGTGCTTGAAAGAGAATATATTATCTTTTTCCAAATTCACAGCACTGCAGATAGACTGGTAACAGATAAAATTAATTTTCATATAAAGGGATTGTTCCTCTATTTTAAAGTACACGCAAAAAACACATTTTTCGAAAAAAGGAAAAAAAATCAAGTTCAAAAATGTTTCTGAAAGGGCTGAAAGATAATTTCTGCTAAAATTGCGATCGAAAATTTTCCTGATGGTAAAATCAAATTTTTTCTTTTACGCCAGGGTTTTCTGAAATTTTATGAAACCAAGGGGAAAAAATGCTTAAATTGCTTTTGGTTTACATCTCTTTTTTAGATGAAATTAAGCTACTTATTCATTTCAAATACCTTGTGGTATCACATTAAACGGCCCTCATTACAGAAAGTAATGAAAAATCAGATGAACTTGGTTATTGTATTAATTATTCGAAAAATTGAATATAATAACAATATTTTTCTGAAAAATGGGGGGGGGGATGCTGGAACATTTAACAATCTCTATTAAGATCAATTTCAATAGATTTTTCCTCTAATCTCTTGATTTAGGAAATGAGATCCATTACAAATTGTTTCAATTATCTCTTCATTTAATATCGATTCGTTCTCTTCAGTTATTTTCAAATTTTTGTACTTTTAAAAAATATAATCTCGTAAAAATATAACATGATTTGATTTAGCAAATAATCCGAAAACTAAGTTTAAAAGAAACAAATACTTAATACTCTTTTAAACTTGTAAAAACAAACCTAACTTGCTAAATGTCAACACATTTTAATGTCAGGACAATTTCTCCGTATTTGGATTTAAAGGAATTGAGTTTTTGCCACAAACTCTAATTTTCTAACCCCTATATCTTTGTGACCTGATATCGTAGATTTTAGATATTTCAAACTATGAATTCTGTTTGATCAAATAGTCGTAGTTTGAAATATCAAAAGTTAACATCATCGGGTTGCAATGATATAGGGATTAGAAAATTTGAATTTGTGGCTAAAATTCAATTCATTTAACCAAATTTTTCGTCACGGAGTTTGTACCAGGGGTGGGTATAGGTGGCAGCATTACCCTGGAAAATGGATGGGGAAAATCTTACATTAGAGGTTCTTAAAGTAATTGAGTCTTTGCCACAAGCTCAAATTTTCTAATCCCTATATCTTAACAACCTGCAGGTTTAATATTTCAAAATTAGATTATTTGATCTATAAAGAATTCATATACTGAAATATCTAAGGTTAACGACATTGGGTTGCAAAGATTTAGGGATTTAAAAAACAGCGTTTGTCCCAAAGACTCAACTCCTTTGTAAAACTTGTAATAATTAAATATTTTAACAAGTCGTCGTAATATAACTGTTAAGAAAATATTATATTTACTTTTTTAAAATCTCTAAATTTAATTTTTAGTCTAGCTTCTCAAGGCGAGAATAAAAAAGCATTTATGTTCCTGAGCTCCTAGGTTATAGACTAATTCCTTTATAAGTTTTCACAGAAAAAATGATCCAGCTTTCTTTATTTAGTCAAAGAACTAGCGTTGAAAGTGAATTTTTGTGTCAGATCCCGTGAAATTGTCTTTTTTTTTTGCAAGAAATGAATTATGCATCTATTTCTTGCCTCTTCTCATTTATCAAAGTTTGCATTTACTGTCAAAATGAGTTAGAGATGAGAGAAAATATTTTAAGGAAACTGTTTCTCACAGGGTAGGCACTAGTCAGATGTAGGGTTTTAAGATAAATTCGATTGTACAACAAATCTAACCTTTAATGGTTATACCAGGTACCTTAGGTTAATCATTTACGAAGAGAACGAAATATTTGGTGTACAGACTAAAAAGATAATGGAGTACCTTAGTTTTGTCCTTGTATTACTATATTAATTCTCATATGATAATTCTGTACTCCCATTTTTCTAAGAATTGCTCTTCTAAACACCATTTTAAGTTCTAAATTGAAAAAATAAAACATACGGTCGAATTCTACATGTCTTTGGCAGACCGTTACAGTGTTAATCTTCAAATCTCGAAAAATGATTGGATTTCACGGGAAATAAGCATAACAAATATTATCTTGAGGATAAAACGGTGAAAAATTTTCAAAAAACATGCTTTTTCTAATACGTTTTGTCATTTTTTGATTAAAATATACAAGCTAGACAATACTGCTAGAGTGCAAAACACACCAGCCTTACTGCAGAATCCGACCCTATATTATCTACTTCAGTTTAGACCTTCCAATGTTTTTATAGTCAATTGACAAAAAACCAGGATTACGGAATTATTACATGAATATTTGTATAAAGGGCAAAACTAAGATACTCGATTATCTTTTTAGGCTTTACACCAAATAATTCGTTCTCTTCATGAATCTCTTATCTAAGGTACCTGGGAGAACTCTGTAAGGATAGATATTTTTTTTTCTGTCTAAAAAATGGAAGTCACGTTCATAGAGAGAAACCTCATTTGCAGAACTTATAAATTTTCTGTCAGACAAAAAAAAGGTACCCTCGGTACCCTCGGTACCGTTGTAAATCGGACTATATGAATGGGGGAACACCTGCAATGAAATGTATATACAGTCCCTTCGCATGAATCACGGACAGCCATAGAACATTTGAATTTCCAATCCTTGTCAACCTTTCCGGTCCCAGTTTGTACTGCACCGCACAGACATTGGGTTAATAAAGAAGACAATCAACAGGACTAGCTGGTGCAACAAGGTTGACGCGAGCAGACTTTCATATAGGTTGAATTTATTTTTACTAAAGGCGCAGAAGTTCTAATCCCATTCATGCTACCTTTTCCCCCAGCAGAGTAAAGAGAAAATCCTGTAATACTATATAAGGAAAAACTTATACAAAAGAACAGAAACTATAAAATAAAAACCGTCATTGAATTACTGCCAAAAACTGCAAAGGATAATGGATATATTACACTTAATAGCCCGCTTGTGACGTGTAACCAGAGTTAGAAAATAATGAATGATATATCAATTTTAAAAGATCAAACTCAAATCTGCAATTGTTATCGCTGGACTGATCTTTAAAAATTAGTTATACTATAAATTCATATTTTACTGTAATAACCAGAATACACTTGAATAGGAATACGACATTATAGCAATCCTTCAGTATATTTGATGTTGTTACAAAGTAAATACTTAAACATATTAAACCACTGATTTAGTGCAATGGGTCTGTTTACATTGCCCAATTGCTGTGTCTCATGTTCATTGGAATTTTTAAAACTATAACTTGATTCTAAAAGTCGACTTCCGATTTCAGGGTTTTTCGGATATCATTATATTATTCAGTACTTTTTTAAAGGTTGATTTTGATACTATACTTTTTATGTGGAAATATTTATTCGTATCTGATGTTTCTGTAAAGCAAAGTGTTAAATCATTCATATCCATTTGTTGGTGGGGGTGGGGGGATAAAAAAAAACAAGGCAACACCACCATAGTTGATCCTTACAAGTTTTGTCCTTTATTTTTTGCCAACATTTCCTTTAAGTGAGGTAAATAGAAATAAGGAAAAAATCTGTTGTTGTATATTTTCTCATGATGATTCTATATTGTTATAAATATTTCTCAGGAAACTTTTATTTTGCATGATTCTTATCTTTCTTATAATTATTAGATTTTCAAAGTTATAGATATAGGGATTAGAAAATCAGAGTTTGTGATAGAAAACCAATTCCTTTGTCAAATAAACAAAAAGATTTAAAACTTTACCTCTAAAACTTCAAATATATATATATATATATAATAATTCCTCTTGAATGCAAGCTAGAGAGCGAAACTTTTGTTTGCCATAGCACTTACTTTTGCGACTGAACGCGATATTTATAAATTTTCTGATATGTCAAAAAGGGGATCAGGACACATTTAGATCAAGGTAGATTCGCCTGAAAATACTGCGATTTAGATCTAGCTAGATTCGCGTACAAATAATTATATTAAGATTAAAAGTAATAGCTTGTTGATAGCTAAGCTGGTGTCCCGATGTGACATTTAGAGCCAAAGTAATAGCTTGTTTTATAGCTACGCCTGTGTCCCTGTGTGGTATTTAGGGCCAGGTGGGTTGTGTCCTGGTTGACTTGGATAGCGGACGGGTTGTGCCTGGACTAATACAGTTTGGGGCGAACTTTTAAGAGTACGGCATTTATTACATTTCCCTACAGTTCCCTATTCAAAATCTGAGACAATCGGTCAAAGGGTTCACAAGTTATGATCGGACAAACAGGGATTACTACTTTATATATAGAATCTGTCATTAAATATTTTGATCATGTTTTATGTAAATAAAAAAAAATCTTCAAAGAATTTCAAAACTAAATTTCATCAAAGATAAATGTTTACACTTGTAGGTTAGTAGGTAGGTTGGTTGGTTGGTAAATAGGTAGGTTGGTAGGTTGGTAGGTTGGTTTAATAAATATTCTGCGTTTACACTTTGTGTTTACAATTCCTACTGAGCCATGGATATCAGACCTTTCAAGTGACTAAACAAACTAATATAAAAGTATTATTAAAAAACAAAAACTAATATTCTGTTCCTGAAAAGAAGAATAATCCAATATGTCTAAAAGCTGTTGATATTGAAGCTAATTTAAAGACGCAAACAGCTTTTGAAAAGAACATGTAAACAAATTAAATTAGTAATCTTTCTAAAAATAGATTTTATTTATTTTTATAAAAATATAAAGATATGAACAGGAATTAGAAATCACTAATATATATATATAATTACATCTGCTTTTTAGGCTAAACTTCCCTATGGTTTCATTTAAAAATGCGCAAAACAATTCCACAATAATTTTAAAAATGAATATAAATATGAAAAACGAATGTTTTAACTAAATGCTAACTTTTTGGGTCCGTCCTAGCATATGATTTTTTGGACCACCTCCCCCCCCCCCCTACAAATACGGACAAAAATCGTATATTTTGAAATTACCAACTATTTTTATCAAAAAAATATTAAAAAAGTATACTTCCTAAATAAATATTTGGAATTCTTTACAACCATTTTTTTCTTGAATTCATAGTTCTCTTATTTTTCGACCTTTTAATACTACCATCTGGAAATCTGATAGAGAAAGGTTGAAATATTAAGGCTGGTAATTACATATTCAAATATATATGATAATATTAAAAAATTTAGACGACTGTTTATATTTTTCCTACCGATAACATTTAGTGTATGCTTGATAGATATAGGATCTCCGTAAACATCAATCTGACAGACATATTCGCCGCTGTCTTTGGGGTCAACCTGGAAAAATACAATATAAGAACCATAAAACTGGGGAATATATCCCGGTTTTGTGATAAAAATTAAAATAAAATTTTTTTATAATAATGGTAAGAGATTATACTTGAACAGCTGATCGTTCCAGTCATATTTTGAACTTTAGGCGTAATTTCATCTGACCCATGGGCAGCTGTAGTACATTTGAATTTCTGAGCCGGGTCAACCTTTCCGGTACCAGTTTGTACTATACCTAGCTCTATGGACAGGACTAGCCGGTGCAACAAGGTTGATGCGGTCAGACTTTTTGCTTCATAGAAGTTGAATTTACTTTTACTAAAGGGTCAGAGGTGCGTGGACCTTCCATTTATCAGATAAAGGTGTAAAGTATCCTTGTGAATTGAGCATATATATGCAAATAATCAATTGGAAGATCGTAAACAGTCCCTTTAAAGTTTTAAAGTTAAATTTACTCTGATCCCAACAATTCTAAATTTTGGAAATCATTTATCCCTGAAATATAACTTCTTAACGTATGATAAAATTTAGACTTTGCCACAAACTCACACTTTCTAATTCCTATATCTTTGCAACCTGAAGGTGGAAACCTGAAGTAATTCATAATCAAGATCATTTAATCTAACATAATTACTAATTTTAAATATCTTAGGTGTACAACATGGGGTTGCAAAGATATAGGGATTAGAAAATCAGAGTTTGTGATAGAAAACCAATTCCTTTGTCAAATAAACAAAAAGATTTAAAACTTTACCTCTAAAACTTCAAGACCATAATCTGCAGTTAGTCTCACTTGTCCATCCTTTCTCACCAGCATACGGTTAGCTAAAAGCAAAAATGCTTTTTAAACATCGCAATTGTCATATTAAACACATAAATATATTATATTCTTTGAAAGTCACCCAACCTCGTTTAAAAATTATTTTTTACTCCAATATTTTACTTGTTGAATCTGATTTGATTTTAGAAAAACTATTTTTTGGGAAAAAGTGACAAAAAAACCAAAAGCCTTCTTGTATTTATAAAGTTCCGGTTGGTTGAGGGGTGGAGATG